TAAAATGGTTCTGGTGGAAGCACAGTTAAGTTTAAAAGAGAAAGAGTGCAAAATAAAAAGAGACCTTTCTTCATTTTTTTTTTCATTTATTTATTTTTTAAAGTGCATCTCTATGTATTTTCACAGTGAATACACCAATATCATAAAACAAAAACAAAACTCCTGCCTTGAAGAACATCCACTACACTACTCTGACTTCTATCTCCATATATTAGTTTTGCCTGTTTTTTTAATTTTAAATTAATTAATTTATTTTAATTGGAGGCTAATTACAATATTGTAGTGGTTTTTGTCATACATTGACATGAATCTGCCATGTGTGTACATGTGTTCCCCATCCTGAACCCCCTCCCACCTCCCTCCCCATCCCATCCCTCAGGGTCGTCCCAGTGCACCGGCCCTCAGCACCCTGTCTCATGCACTGAACCTGGACTGGCGATCTATTTCACATCTGGTAATATACATGCTATTCCCTCAAATCATCCCACCCTCGCCTTCTCCCCGCTCAGAACTCGAGTCCAAAGTTCTGTTCTTTACATCTGTGTCTAAAAAGAGACCTTTAGATGCTTCATATATTTTGCCCAGAAAACAGATCCTGGAGGCTTTTTTCCTAATTATTTTTATGGGAAACACAAGTTTCAACTCAGAGGATAGAACCAAGAGATACAGAGAACAACTCAGAGAGTAAACTGAGCAGCAATGAAAGAATTGGCAACAGTTTCTCAGCTAGATTTCAGAAGAGCCAGGTAGGGGCCAGCAATTGTTGTGTGTCTCTCAGACGCCATGTTTTTGAACAGGAATGTCTAAGAATTGGGGCTTCACAGGTGGCACTAGTGGTAAAGAACCTGCCAATGCAGGAGACCTAAGAGAGAAGGGTTTGATCCCTGGGTCAGGAAGATCCCTGGAGAAGGGCATGGTAACCCACTCTAGTAGTCCTGCCTGAAGAATCCCCTGGATAGAGAAAAACGGTGGCGACAGTCCATAGGTCGCAAAGAGTTGGACACGACTGAAGCAACTTAGCACACACACACGCATAGCATCACAACCTCAAGTTTGTCAAGCTCCATAGGGTGGCTCAGCGCTCCAAGAGCAAGTATTTCCAGCAAACAAGGTGAAAACCTTATGGCCTTTATGACCTACCTTCTGAAGTCACAAGCATCAGTTCAGTACTAACTGAAGCAGTCAGAAACCCATCCGTATTGAGGGGAGAGGGCATAGATCTCCCGCCTCTTTGTGCCAGAAGTGGTGAAGAATTTGTGTTATGATTCTATGTTTTAAAACCTGCACAGGGCTTCCCTGGTGGCTTAGTGGTAAAGAAACCAACTGCCAATGCAGGAGACATGGGTTCAATCCTTGGTCCAGGAAGATCACACATGCCTCAGACTGGCCAAGCCTGTGTTCCACAGCTATTGAGCCTGTTCTCTACAGCCTGGGAGCAGCAACTACTGAATCCACATGCTGCAACTACTGAAGCCTGTGTGCCCAAGAGCCCATGCTCTGCAATGAGAGAAGCCACCACAGTGAGAAGCCATGTAGCACAACTAGAGCATATAGAGACCAAGTTCACTGCAACCAGGGAAAAGCCACAGCCACGGAGACCCAGCACGGCCAAAAAGGATAATATATAAACAAACAAATTATTTTAAACCTGCAAAAACAATTGTTCTATAATGTGTTAAATACAGTTTTCTTTGTATTTAGCTTGAGCTTTATAGGTGTTATGAACTGAATGTGTGCCCTCAAAACTCAGTGTTGCAATCTGAAACTCCAGCGTGATGGTATTTGAAGGTGGGGCCTTTGCGAAGCTGTCAGGTTTAAATGAGGTCAGGAGAGTGAGGCCCCCATGATGGGATTAGTGTCCTTATGAAATGAGGAAGTGAAACTGGAGCTCCCCCTCTTTCTCTCCCCGCCAGTTGAAGACACGGAGAAGGCAGCTGTCTCTAGGCCAGAAGAGGCCCCCACCAGGAACTGAATCTGCCAGAACCTTGATCTTGGACTTCCCAGCCTCCAGAACTGTGAGAAATGTCTGCTGTTTAAGCCATTCTGTCTATGGTATTTTGTTACAGAAGCCTGAGCCAAGACATAGTGCCTCTGGACTATGTGGTTGATGTCTGTCAGTTGTTGAAAATTCTCAACCACTGTCTCTTCAAATAAACCTACATAACAATTTGTAGTTTTGTTGTCAGGGAAAGTGATGATGCCTCTAGGAATGTCACAGTATGAGTTTCCAAAGTTTGTTCTCAGAACCAGGAAGCAGGAAGGAAAATAGCTCATAGTCACTCACCTTTGGACTGATGACTTTGGAAGGACTGATGCTGAAGCTCCAATACTCTGTCCACCTGATGCAAAGAGCCGACTCACTGAAAAAGACCCTGATGCTGGGAAAGATTGAAGGCAGGAGGAGAAGAGGATGACAGGGGATGAGATGGTTGGATGGCATCACCGACTTGATGGGACGGTGAATGTGAGCATCCTTGAGGAGTTTCTGATGGACAGGGAAGCCTGGCGTGCTGCAGTCCATGGGGCTGCAAAGAGTCGGACACGACTGAGCAACTGAACTGAACTGGATGACTCACCTTTGGAATAGAGTTTTGACTAAACTATTCCAGAGTCAGATGTTCCCCTTCTTTTTTAATTTTTATTATTTTGGGTTGTGCTGGGCCTTTGTTGCTGGGCATGGACTTTCTGTAATTGGGGTGAGCGAGGGCTGCTCTCTGTTTGCAGAATGTGGACTTCTCACTGCAGTGGCCTCTCCTGTTACGGATCAAGAGCTCTAGGCTTGCAGGCTTCAGTAGCTGCGGCACATGGACTTAGTTGCCCCAGGCATGTGGGGTCTTCCTGGACCAGGGATCAAAATGGTGCTCCTTCCATTGAAAGGTGGATTCTTAAACTGGCCACGAAGGAAGCCCCTGGTGCTCCCCTTCTTACCACCACTCCTCCTCCCAGGGAATTCCTCTTTAATCTCCATGAGAAAAAGGTCAGTCTGGCTTTCCTTCTATCAACACCTCTGTGTATACTTTAGCCAATGAAAATTCTACTGTTATCTGTATTGAACCACTGGCAAACACTGAATGACCATTCTCTCCCAGTGATGGAAAAAGTAACCCAGTAGTTCTGTGACTAAAAATGTTAAGTAAAAAAAAATCTAGATGAAAACACAAATTTTAAAAGTAGATACTTTTTACTATTTTGTATGATATACCTCTATTGAATCTTCAACAATAGGCATGTGTTAGATTAGAAAAATTCATAATGAAATAAAACTTCAAAAAGTTTCCTACAATACATCATTAATAACAATGACATGAATTTAATGTTACCCAGGGACAAACGATTCAGATAAGACTATTAAACACTAAAATCCAATCTTGAATCTCTCTCCTGTCAGTAACAGAGCAGTGCATTACAATTTGGGGGAAGGTCCAAGGTGTTTGGTGAAGAAGGTTAGAATTTGCTTCCAAGCATCTACCTGGGCCTTAGAATGGGCCCTGGGCTCCCCACCCCACATTACGGGTTTGTCCAATAATCTGTGCAAAGAAGCTGGGCACATGGGGAAATAAGGAGGCTCAATGTAGTGCCCAGCCCCAGGATAAGAGATGATCTGGGGTTTTTCCTTTCCATGGGCCTGTAACCGTTCCGAGGCTATCTGGGCATAAAACTCACTCCTCCAGTTACGGTCATCCTGACCAACAATGAAGAGGATTGGCCCCTGGGCCTTCTCTATTGGAATCATGCAGGGGTTCTCGCACCCCCCTACAATGTCATTCCTTATATCCACAATGTCTAGGACGCCTGAGAAAGCTACCTTCATTCTCCTCAGGTCATGGCCCAGTGGTGGAATGTTGCTGTCCTTGTAGTGTATGACTCTGTCTCCACTGACCCCAGATCCATTGATGGAAACCGTGGCTGAGATGTTCTTCAAAAATGAGGCCATGGAGAGACAAATATCAGCCCCTAAAGAAATGCCCAGAAGCCCAATGCGTGGGCCCTTTATCTGGAAGAAAAAGAGATAAGAGTCAAGAACTTACCCAAGAGAAAAATGTTTTTCTAAGTGCAACTAGAGATGCTGCTAGCTCTAATTTGTGAACTGGCCACAAGACACTCAACCTCGGTTCACAGAGGAGTTTCTTCCCATATAAACACTATCTTGCTGGACATGTGGCAAACAAATTCAATGGTAAATCTGGGATGATGGCTTAGTCACTAAGGACTGTAGCCTGCCAGGCTCCTCTGTCCATGGGATTCTCCAGGCAAGAATACTGGAGAGGGTGACCACTTCCTTTCCCAAGGAATCTTCCCCACCCAGAGGTCAAACCTGGGTCTACCTGCATTGCAGACAGATTCTTTACTTGACTGAGCCACCAGGATTGTTCGCAAACTTCCAGAGAGTCAGACACTAGAGAATGCCGAGTAAAGGAGCCTGGCAAGTTCAGAGCCTTATGTTCTTGGGAATCTAAGTCTGTGAAACCAAATTCTGTTACAAGAAGTGAATCATTATCAGACCACTTCTAAACATATACTGAAAAATGGTTAACTTAATAGAAACAAAGGAGGACTGCAGAGTCCAATTAAGTAGTTCTTAGCTTCTGAAATGGGTGGACCAGTTTAGATCATCTGAGAATATACCCTGCTGTCAGAAAAATATTCAAAAGCATTCAAAGCAAAAAAATTAGAAACTCCACTTTCTCTCAAAAGGAATTTTCATATCACTACCTAATTCCTTGAAATAAGATTTCACATGGATTTTACAATGAATTCTGCATTAATTCCTTGAAATAAAATTTCACATGACTTTTACAGTGAATTCTGCATTATTAAGCCATCTGACAAAGAAAGGGGATGGTGCTTTAGGTGCTTTAGGCACTAAAACCAAAGCAGTCTCCAATAGCAATCTCTGAAAGAAGAGCAGAGCAGCACCCGTGCACCGGGCACGGGTGCGTGCACAGCGACAGCCCTCTGGAGGCGGTTCTGAAGAGAAGGATAAAGGACAGCAGGAGAACCTGGGTGTGCTGGAGCATGTAGCACACGGCTTCTTCAAAATATTCCAGGTGTATCACGTCAAATTTCTTGGGAAGATCATCAAAGTCATAATAAGCTAGAGCCAGTGTGGCAAAGCCATGGCCAGCCAAAAGACTGGCCCGATATTCCAACAGGCCTCCTCCAGTACCGAAGATGTCAATGATCCCTGGGAAAGGTCCAGATCCTAGAGACAGTAAAATTACAAAGGGGAAATATTATATAATTTAATGAATTTGCTTTCCACGCTCAACATCACTAATTATTAGAGAAATGCAAATCAAAACTACAATGAGATAGATACTGACCTCACATGAGTCAGAATGACCATCATTAAAAAATCTACAAATAAGTGCTGGAGAGGATGTGGACAAAAGGGAACCCTCCTACACTGTTGGTGGGAATATAAGTTGGTGTAGCCACTATGGAAAATAGTATGGAGGTTCTCAAAAAACTAAAAATAGAGTTACCGTATGATCCAACAATCCCACTCCTGGGCATATACCAGGAAAAAACTATAAATCAAAAAGATATATGAATCCCTATGTTCATAGCAGCACTGTTCACAACAACCAAGACAAGGAAACAAGCTAAATGTTCACTGACAGATGAATGATACAGAAGATGTGGTATATATATGCAATGGAATACTACTCAGCCATAAAAAAGAATGAACCAACATTTACAGCAACATGGATGGACCTAGAGATTATCACACTAAGTGAACTAAGTCAGGAAGAGAAAGACGAGTACCATATGATACACTGATATGTAGAATCTAAAATATGACACTAATGAACTTATCAACAGAACAAACATACTCACAGATGTAGAGAACAGATTTATGGTTGCCAAGAGGGAGGGTGTGTTGCAAAGGGATGGAGTGGGAGTTTGGGGTTAGCAGACGCAAACTAGTATATAGAGAATGGATAAATAACAAGGTCTTACCATATAGCACAGGCAACTATATTCAGTACCCTGTGATAAACTATAATGGAAAAGAATATATATGTATAATTGAGTCACTTTGCAGTACAGCAGAAATGAATACACTGTATATCAACTACACTTCAATTTTTTTAAAAGAGCCTGCTTTCCTTTTATTTTTATTTTTTTATTATTATTTTTTATTTTTTCATTTTTTCCATCCTGCTTTCCTCTTAGAGATCTTTCTAAACTATTAGTCGGTTCCTGTGACTCAAAGGAGATATAACAGTTCCCTGAGTCATTATTGAAAAGGGTTACAAGTTCCTTTTAGGGAAAGGAGTCCAAGGAAAATATATGATAATTTATCAATGCGTTTATCCTCCATATTACTTTATAACAAATTACCTCAAAGGTTCTAAGAATCTGTAGTTGTAGGCAAGAATAACCAACTCAATAATCTTGCAAGAAAACTTTTGTATTGTGTTGCATCAACACGACTCTGTGTGTGTGTGTACTTATATTTCAAATGTCACTTGACCAGAGAAAAGAAAAAGAGGTATTCAGTGAGGCTTTAGGTAAGGAAGGCAGTGAAGTCCGAAAAGTGATTTGTGGTAGAGAGGAGCACGAAAAAGTGGGTAAGGGGCCCAGTGTAAGCAGGACACTAGAGAAGAGTGTTCTGGTAATAGGTTCCATCATATTGTGTTAAGGTCTACGGAGCTGAAGCCTATAGAGATCTGTAGACTAATTATTAATGGCAAAGTGAACCTTACGGACCCCATCCAGTCCTTTTTTTTTTTTTTAATCTGCATACTAACAGTATCCACCTCTTTGGGATACAGATGTTAAATGAGATAATGCAAGGAAACTGCATAGCAGAGTGCAGAACAAATCAAAAGCCTCCATTGTGGCTGTGAGGTCACTGACTTAGTCAACATCCTCTTCTCTGACCCTGATCCCAAGCCTCCCTTCCTGGGAAGCGGTATCACAAACCAAGACGGCCTAGAGAACACGCTCGCCAGGCCCCAGCACCCCAGGCTCACCTGGCGGCAGGAAGAGCGTGCCGCGCACCCGGCCCGCGCGCACCGGCTCGCGCCGCACCCCGGGAGCCAGGAAGTCGCGCTCGTGCACCGCCCGGCCCAGAAGTCGTTGGGCCTCGGGCTCGTGACCGTCGAGCACCTCCAGCTCCACGGCGAAGGGCGTCTGCACGTCCCGCTTCAGAAATCGCCAAAAAGGCTTCTCGGGCTCCAGAGCCCAGAAGAGCCCCATGGGCTCGAGCCCCGCGAAGCTGCCGCCCAGCGCGGGCGCGCGCTCCAGGTCCAGCAGGCCGGCGGCGTCGGCGCAGTAGCGCGCGTGGGCCCTGAAGAGCGCGCCCTTCTCGTCGCGCAGGGACGCGCGCAGCGTGACCGGCTGCGCCGGGGCGAGGCCGCGCACGACGATGCGCACGGGCTCGTCCCAGCGGCAGCGGCCCGCCGGCTCCAGCGTCACGGTGGCTGTCATTCCAGACGCACAGTCGCAGCCCAAACCCTGAATGTGGAAAGCTCAGGTCGCTTCCGGTGTCCCATCCCAGGCCGGCTGTGCGCGCCCATTGGACCGATGAGGTCAGGCGATGCCTGGCGCCGGGAGCGGTCAAAGGCTGAGGCGCCGCCGGAGGCGTCCTGGCGCTTCCGGTCCATGTACCTCCGCTAGCCGGCAACTTGCCTGACTAAAAGTCGTTTTCCCGGCGGGACGCACAGGAATGTCCTGCAGTCCCGTGCGGCGCCACACCCGCCCGCGGACGCCTCTTTTCAGCCTCACACCTCCCGCACTCGTTGCGGGTAATTGATTCATGGTGAAACCAGAGCTGAGTGACTCTAGACGGAATTCCAAGACTTGTAGCCCCTCCATAGAAAAGGGCAACTTAAAACTTTTTTTTTCAACTTTTAATGAATTATAACGTACATACCAAAAACGTGCGTAAATCTCAAGTGTACAGTTCAATGAATTACAAAACCCGAACGTACTTAGTTGGGTAACCAAGCACAGGGATTCAGAAACATCACTGCCAGCACTCCAGAAGCCACCCTCCTTTCTACTCCAGTCGCTTTCCCGTCCCCAAGGTACTCTGAGTCCAATAAAACGGGTTGGTTTTTCCCAACTCTTATTTTATGGTGATGAATCCTTCAGTCTGCCTTCTTTAGTGTCTGATTTTATTCTCACATTATGTTTTTGAGATTACTGTTGGATACTATTTGGAGCAGTTGCAGATTTTCCGTGATCATTGCCAAATAGTATTGCATTTTGTAATCATAAAAGTATTTGTCAAATTTTACTGACTATAGTTAGTTAAGTCGCTCAGTCGTGTCTGACTCTTTGCGACCCTGTGGGCTGTAGCCCACCAGGCTCCTCCATCCATGGAATTCTCCAGGCAAGAATACTGGAGTGGGTTGCCATTTTCTTCTCCAGGAGATCTTCCCGACCCAGGGATTGAACCCAGGTCTCTTGCATTGCAGGCAGACGCTTTAACCTCTGAGCCACCAGGGAAGCCCATATAGGCGTTTGATACTTCCCAGCTTGGGATTCTTAGATACAGTGCTTCATTACCGTGAAGTGAATACCAAAGATTGAAATTGGTGCATCATAGAGAATGAGAACATTCAGTCTTTGTAGACACTAACGGTCAACGTTTTGAATGTGACCCTGGAAGCAATACAGATATAATGTCCAAGGATGTATTTTATATTTACTACAATTTATATATAGTGTAGTAATGACTGTGTGCACTAAGTCGCTTCAGTCATGTCCGATTCCTTGCAACTGTACAGACTGTCCGTGGGATTCTCCAGGCAAGAATCTTAGAGTAGGTTGCCCTTTCTTTCTCCAGGGTACGCCGTTGCTAAAGAGTAGTGGCTACTCTTGTTAAATTGATTCATCTTATTAAATTGTGTGTTTTACATTCACAATTTAACAAGTCTGTAAAACCCTGGGAGTATTTTTCAAATATCCTAGAGGAGGAACCTGAGGCTTGGATAATATTAAGCTGCTGAGGATTAATCTCTAACTGTCAGAGCCTTGACAGACTCCAAATGTGGAACTCAACAGTGAGCAGCAGCATTGGGGTGAAATATATTAGAATTCTAGCCATGACTTCATCACTGACTAGTTCTTTAGTCTCAAGTAATTTTATATCGTTTGGGGTTTAAGAGTTCTTGTGTTTAACATGATGAATGTCTTCTATATGGGGATCAAAGATGACAGTGTATGTGAAAAGCTTTGAAGAATACTAGGAAGCAACATGTCATATTTAATTTCATAGTACCCAGAGATTGAGCACATCTGTGTTTTGTTCCTCATGTGTGCTCAGTCACTCAGTCATGTCGGACTCTTTGTGACCCCATGGACTGTAGCCTGCCAGGCTCCCTTGCCCTTCGAGTGTTCCAGGCAAGAATACTGGAGTGGGTTGCCATTTCCTTCTCCAACTGTTTCTTATGATCTCCAGATAATTGTCATAGGTTTGCACAGTGCTTCTAAATTGCTCTGTAGGGAAAAATCAATTCTTTTTGAAGGACAAAAATATGTACTTTGAAAACAGATGTAAGCAATATTGAAAAGTTTACAATGTGAAATTATAGTCTACTCTCCCTCCAGCTGCCACTTTCCCCAAATCTGAGTGCTTCCAGCTAGGTTTTGTTTCCAGATGTTGAAGAAAGTATGTAAGTGGGCATGTGAACCTGCTATTCCTTTTGAAAATAGCTATTTATTTTTGACTGTGCTGAGTCTCCACTGCTGCTTGCTGGCTTTCTCTGGTCGTGGCAAGCAGGGGCTACTCTCTCGTTGCAGTGTGCAGGCTTCTCCTTGAGGTGGCTTCTCTCATTGTGGAACCTGGGCTGTAGATACACGGGCTCGAGTCGTTGTTGCACACAGGCTTAGATCCCCACCAAGGATCAAACCTGTGTCCCCTGCACTGGAAAGTGAATTCTTAACCACTGGACCACCAGGGAAGTCCCTTGCCTTCTTCTGGATTTAGTAAGTTTTTCCTTTTTTTTTTTTCTGTGTTCTTTTCTATTCATTTGTGAATTAAACATTGTTTATTTTAGTAGTTACTCTTGAATTTTTGAAAAGGTAAAATTTTTGAAAAGAATCGTTACTCTTGAAATGTTAACAGTGTGGACAGTTTCTTTACCTTTCTCTCAATATGAAAGAGACCTTAGAATACAGTTGTACCTCACTATCTGATTTGTTTCAGGACCCCAGACAATACCAAAATTGACAGATACTTAAGTCCCTTATATAAAATGGAGTAGGGTTGCATATCACCTATGAAAACCCTCTAATATAGTTTAAATTATCTCTAGATTACTTATAATACCTAATATTATGTGAAAGAAAGTGTTAGTTGCTCAGTCGTGTCTGACTCTTTGCAACCCCATGTGGAAGAACTATTGACCCTTGAAGACTTCAGGGGCTGGGGCACTGACCCTGCATGCAGTAAAAATCCAAGTATAACTTTATAGTTATCCCTCTGTATCTGTGTTCACTTCCATGTATTCAAGCAACAGCAGCTGGTGAAGTACTGTAGTACATATTTTTAAGTTCAAAAAAAGAAAGAAAAACGTTCACATGTAGGTGGACCTGTGTAGTTCACTCCTGTGTTGCTCAAGGGTCAAATGTGTTTTTCATATTATTTCATCATGACCTCTTAATAGTTTTTAATTTCTATGACTCCTTTTTAATCTAAGTTGTTTGGAAACAACTTTTGTATAAATCGAAAATTTTAACTTTTTCCCCAGATAGGCCTTCCTGGTAGTGCTAGTGGTTAACAACCTACTTGCCAATGCAGGAGACGTAAGATGCGGGTTCGATCTCTGGGTCAGGAAGATCCTCAACAGGAGGGCATGGCAACCCACCCAAGTATTCATGCCTGGAGAATCCCATGAAGAGAGGAGCCAGGCAGGTTACGGCCCATAGCATCACAAAGAGTCAGACATGACTGAAGTGACTTAGAATGCAATTTCTGCACGGTAATAAGTATAAGGGTGGGCAGTCTGGTTTTGCGCCACTGCCCTATAAAAAAGTCCCATGTTCTTCAAGCTGCCTCTTTTAACTATCTCTATTTTCACTTGTTTTTATGGTTACCTTCATTGTATTAAATATTATGCATGTTTCTTTTTTAATTTTTGCATTTTGTAGTTATTTACTGACTCATGAACATTCAACTTACTCTTTCTTCTTCCTCCAGGTGTTGATAGATGTATTATTATTTTTTGTTATTCTGTTGGTTAATTCTGTAATTTTAAATAACATGTGTGTTTATTTCTTGCCCCATCAAATTTCAACTAAATCTACGACTCTGAAAGACAGAGATATTATCAACCTTATGTTTTCCAATGTGTTTAAATTCCACTTTTACTCTCTCTGGTAAATCTCTTATTAATTTCTATTTTACTCCAACTGTATTTAAAAAATATAGTCTGCATCATTTCTACTGTGAATGAGAAATATTGCCTGCCATATCAGTAAACAAAGGATGTTCCAGGCACTAGGCCAGTACAGCCACACCTGAGGGTGACACTGAGGGAACTCAGAATGGAGACAGACAGGCTTCCCCTGAGGTGCATCCTAGGGGGACTCAGAATGGGAAAAAAACAGGATACTGGCCCTAGGTAGCTAAGGTATATATCAAAGGAATTATTTCAGTACACCCAGATTCATGTGTCTTCCTAAACACAAAAGTGTACTTAATGTATTAACTTGAGATACCTAGTTTTCTTTAACAGTAGTCTTTTGATGTTCCCAACTGCCTGGTCATTGTTGTAAAACCCCTACATAACCTGAAAGAAAGAAAGTGAAAATGTTAGTTGATCAGTCGTGTCCAACTCTTTGTGACCCCCATGGACTGTAGCCCACCAGTCTCCTCTGTCCATGGAATTCTCCAGGCAAGAATACTAGAATGGGTTGCCATTCCCTTCTCCAGGGGATCTTCCCAACTCAGGGATTGAACCCACGTCTTCTCCTTCATTGCAGGCAGATTCTTTACCAACTAAGACACTAGGGAAACCCTATGTAACCTGGCTCTTCCCTTACCTCTTTGGAACAGTCTCAGAGTTGAGAGGCTGTATCCCAGGCCCAAGTCCTCAGTTTTGTCCATCAAATAAAACATAATTCTCAACTTTCAGGTTTGGATTTTTCAGTCAACAGTACTTTTGGTACTTTATTACTTCTTAATGTTCTGAATATTGTCAAGTTTTATAAATACTTAAGAGTATTTGAAAAGAAGATAGAAACAGTGGCAGGTTTTTTTTTGGGGGGGGGGCGGGGATCCAAAATCACTGCAGATGGTGATTGCAGCCATGAAATTAAAAGATGCTTACTCCTTGGAAGGAAAGTTATGACCAACCTAGACAGCTTATTAAAAAGCAGAGACATTACTTTGACAACAAAGGTCCGTCTAGTCAAGGCTATGGTTTTTCCAGTAGTCATGTATAGATGTGAGAGTTGGACTATAAAGAAAGCTGACCAACAAAGAATTGATGCTTTTGAACTGTGGTGTTGGAGAAGGCTCTTGAGAGTCCCTTGGACTGCAAGGAGATCCAACCAGCCCATCCTAAAGGAGATCAGTCCTGAGTGTTCATTGGAAGGACTGATGTTGAAGCTGAAATTCTAATACTTTGGCCACGTGATGCGAAGAGCTGATTCATTTGAAAAGACCCTGATGCTGGGAAAGATTGAGTGCAGGAGGAGAAGAGAACAACAGAGGATGAGATGGTTGGATGGCATCACTGACTCAATGGACATGAGTTTGAGTAAACTCTGGGAGTTGGCGATGGACAGGGAATCCTGGCATCCTGCAGTCCATGGGGTCAGAAAGAGTTGGACACAACTGAGCGACTGAACTGAACTGAACTGAGAAGATGTACTATCTGTCTATTGGAAACAAAGCTTCCTACTCTCTTTCTCTCTATGACTCTATCTAATCAAGTTAATTATTTATATAGTTCATATCTTCTATATCTTCACTTATTGTTTATCTTACTTCTGTCAGTTTCTGAGTAGTTTAAATACATACATCATTGTAGGAAATCTGTAAGTTATTTCTTCAGTTCAGTTCAGTTCAGTCACTCAGTCATGTCTGACTCTTTGCGACCCCGTGGACTGCAGCAGGCCAGGCCTCCCTGTCCATCACCAACTCCTGTAGCTTGCCCAAACTCATGTCCATTGAGTCAGTGATGCCATTCAACCATCTCATCCTCTGTCGTCCCCTTCTCCTCCTGAGAGGGTAACAGGCAGGAAGGCCAGGGGTCTCCAAATGGAGGAAATAGGCTGCAAGCGTCAGACATTTTTTCTCTCTCTCTTAAGCAGCAGGAGGAAACAAAGAAGTTCTATTTTCCCCCTTTCTCTATACAAATTTAAAAAGAGGTTTCTTTTAAAATTCTGTGTTGCCATAATGACACCTGGTTCTACCTGAACTTAACTTTTCTCAAACCTTGAGCTAGCCAATGCATTTTTCTTATGGAAATGTTTGTCTTGAGCTATGTTAATGTACTCTGCATTTACTCTAGACTCTACCTTCAAGTCAGTTCCACCTAAAGGCTCAGATTTAGGCTCAGAACCAATTTGACAAACCAGTATGTTATACTCATACATTGTTCTCCTAATCTATGTTAATGAAACTGTATATTTATATGGTAATCTGCCTTTCTTCAAGATTCATGTCAATCGTTTTATGGCCCGGGATGATTCACCTAGTGCCAACTCTGAGTTTTGAGACATTTCCTTTCTTTAATTAGCAGACTGCTAGTAGCTATAAAACATCCAGCTAATGACTAGCAGGGGGGTACTCTTTCTGCCCCCTTCTGATGTCCACATCAGAAGCTTTCTCTATCTCTTTTATACTTTAATAAAACTTTATTACATGAGAGCTCTGAGCCATCAAGCCTCATCTCTGGTCGCGGATTGAATTCTTCTCCTCCAGAGGCCAAGAATCCCAGTGTCTTTCATGGTTCAGCAACAACCTTTCACTCCCGCCTTCAATCTTTCCCAGCATCAGGGTCTTTTCAAATGAGTCAACTCTTCGCATCACGTGGCCAAAGTATTGGAGTTTCAGCTCCAGCATCAGTCCTTCCAATGAATAGTAAGGATTGGTTTCCTTTAGGATGGACTGATTGGATCTCCTTGCAGTCCAAGGGACTCTCATGAGTCTTCTCCAGGACCACAGTTCAAAAGCATCAGTTCTTTGGTGCTCAGCTTTCTTTATGGTCCAACACTCAAATCCATACATGACTACTGGAAAAACCATAGCTTTGACTAGATGGACCTTTGTTGTCAAAGTAATGTCTCTGCTTTTTAATAAGCTGTCTAGGTTGGTCATAACTTTCCTTCCAAGGAGTAAGCATCTTTTAATTTCATGACTGCAGTCACCATCTGCAGTGATTTTGGAGCCCAAGAAAATAAAGTCTCTCACTGTTTCCATTGTTTCCCCACTGTTTGCCATGAAGTGATGGGACCAGATGCCATGATCTTCGTTTACTGAATGTTGAGTATGAAGCCAACTTTTTCGCTCTCCTCTTTCACTTTCATCAAGAGGCTCTTTAGTTCCTCTTCACTTTCTGCCATAAGGGTGGTGCATCTGCATATCTGAGGTTATTGACCTTTCTCCTGGCAATCTTGATTCCAGCTTGTGCTTCATCCAGCACGCATTTCACATGATGTACTCTGCATAGAAGTTAAATAAGCAGGGTAACAGTATACAGCCTTGATGTATACTGTTGATACTTGATACTCCTTCCCCAATTTGGAACCAGTCTGTTGTTCCATATCTGATTCTAACTGTTTCTTCTTGACCTGCATACAGCTTTCTCAGGAGGCAGGTAAGGTAGTCTGGTATTCCTCTCTCTTTAAGAATTTTCCACAGTTTGTTGTGATCCACACAGTCAAAGGCTTTACCATAATCAATGAAGCAGAAGTAGATGTTTTTTTTCTGGAATTCTACTTGCTTTATCTATGATCCAGTGGATGTTGGCAATTTGACCTCTGGTTCCTCTGCCTTTTCTAAATCTAGCTTGAACATCTGGAATTTCTCAGTTCACATACTGTTGAAGCCTAGCTTGGAGAATTTTGAGCATTACTTTGTCAGCAGGTGAGATGAGTGCAAATGTGTGGTAGTTTGAAAAATCTTTGGCATTGCCTTTCTTTGGGATTGGAATGAAAACTGACCTTTTCCAGTCCTGTGGCCACTGCTGAGTTTTCCAAAGTGCACTATCTGCTAGTAAACGGATTATATGCAACTCCTTTTCTACTGAATAACTGTCTTTATTTTCCAAGTTTCCTATGAATTTTTATTACTTTAGATTCAGAAAAAATAAAGAAATCCTATCAGTTAAGACCCATATCAAAAGCCATATCTCTCTGAATTCTTTTCTAATTTTCTACTCAATAGTAGGTAGTTTCACTGGTCTCCTCATAAGGCATGCCTGTGGCATCTCTATTCCCCCTTTTCTTACCTCCTCCATTGCAAAATAGTTTGAAGAGGAAACCATCTTTGTGCCATTTGAAATACATGGTCTATAGATTTGACTTGGTCATTCATTAGCTACCAAGTCTCTGATGCTTTTGCTATTTATCACTCATGTCAGCCCCAGAATTTCTAGAGAAGCTGGATTCTCCAGCTTGGTTAACTGGAGATTTCTTCAACTGTCATAGAACATGCTAGTTATAGAAAGTGGTGGAAAGAGAGATATAAAGATAGGAAAGAGGAAGGAGGAGGGCAAATCACACACACATTGTGAAGGGGAAGGGGTGTAGGCATTTTGAGTTGCCTGTCAGCTCCTGCAAATCTATACCACTAGGTTAAAGCCACAGTTTAAACATGGTTCCAGATTACACTTTCAACATTAGTGCCCTGAAACCACCCCTACCCTCACACTTCAAGTCCAGGAAATCCACTGAAAACTTAGGTAGAAGAAAGAAGAGCCACTTCCTTTCCCTGTGGCTGGGGCTGTTACCCTGCAGAGAGCATGGATGAGCTTAACAAAGAGAGAAGAAACTGGATGTGGGGAGACTGAGCCCCAGCTCTACAGGCACCATGCAAAAATTTTTCTGAGTCTTGGTTTCTTCACCTGTAAAATGGAGATGACATCTGCCTCACAGTGGGACAGAAGAAAAACTACTACTAAGTACTAATCTAGCTAGTAATTTACAGCTAAAATGTTCACTTTCATTCTTAAAGGAGACACTCAGTCTGATAATATTTTTGATATTTTATATGATTTTTATACATATATAGCAGAATCACTTATTAACAAATTATTATACAAATTCAAGTATAATGGATTCAAGAAACTACCCAGCAGTAATTGTACACCAGGTATTATTCTTCCTTTCAGAACTAAAGCCTTGTCAGTTATGTGTTGTTAGGTTTTAAAGGGTATGCTTTCTCCACCTGCTGTGGTGTCTGTAGAATCATTCTCTTCCCAAACAACTGAAAAAGTATGGAATTTATAAAAATCTTGAAAAATTCACAATGAGTTCACTTTAATATTGAAGGGGGAAAATGTAATTATAGAAAAGAAAAAACTACACATATACACTAACGTGGCAGCTATTCCCAGGATAGATTAGCATAAAAGATCACAGCTTGGCTGGAATTGTCCCCTTTTCCCCACCCAGGTGTTTATGGAAGAAAGTCTGGAGCTGCTGCCAAGCATCTACCTGGGCCCTGGCATGAGCCCTGGGCTCCCCTCCCCAGATGACGGGAGTTCTCACTATGCTGTGCAGGGAAGCCGGGCACAGGGGGAAGTAAGGAGGTTCAATGTAGTGCCCCGTCCCTGGGTAACAGATGACCTGGGGTTTTGCCTTCCCATGGGCCTGCAAGCGTTTAGAGGCCTCATTAGCATAGAATTCACTCTTCCAGTTGTGGTCATCCTGACCCACAAGAAACAGGAAGGGGCACTCAGCCCTTTCCACAGGAATGAAGCTCTTCTGGTCAGGTCCTTCCAAAGGGCTGTTCAGGACTTCCACAATGTCTCCAAAGCCATCTTTAGTCATCTTGATTCGATTTTGGTTGAAACCCACAGGCGGCAGAATCTCACCTTTGTATTGTAAGGTTCCACAGACACTGACCACAGAGCCATTGATTATGACGGCCGCAGTGATGCCCTTCAGGAAGGAAGCCATGGAGAGGCAGAGCTCGCCTCCTTTTGAAATCCCAAGCAGCCCAACTCCTGGACCCTTCACCTGAGAAAAGTTCAAAGGGAAAAGGAGAATAAGTCCATGAACAGTGCAGTGTGGCCAGTAGTGCCTGGACTTGAGAGTCGGGGAACTGAGCCTGAATCTTGGCTCTCCCAGTTATCAAGGTTTGCAGCCTTAGGATACTGGCCTATTCTTCCTCTGTACTTGCTTTCCACAATTTCTCCATCACCATTCCTGGTGTCTTCAACAACCAAGTGGATGACAACTGAATACTTTGGCCTCACAGTCCCTTGACCTCCAAACCTCCAGTGATCGTTTTCTCTCTCGCACTGAAGATACACACTCCCATTGTCATAACCTAAACTGAGTCATCAATAAGTATATCATCTCCAAGATCTCAGCTTCAAGCATTCTACTCTCTAATCACTCTCCTATTTACCTCCAGTTTAGCCATTCTAGTGGTGCCCACTGCTACCTCTTTGAGACTCTGACCACCATTTCTTCACCATCAGTACCTTCTCATGTTCTCACTTCCCACCTCATCCAGCTTAGATTTCAAGCTTCATCATTATTTCTACTCTCCTGCAAACACTGTTAACTACTTTAATTGGTCATACTTGCCTGAAAAAGTTCTAACCTCAGTTAAATGCACTTATAATTCACTTCCTTGGGGCCTGCATTTGTGCAAATGAACACTGCTACAGAAAAAAATACACACTTGTGTTGACACAACTTACTTTCATGTCATGACCACAAATTTCAAATAAACATCCATACTGGCCCTTAGTCCTGCCACGCATCACTGATGTTTGCTTTCCACTTCTCTTAAAGACCGTTTCACTTTGTCTCCTACATCTGTAAGCCCCTTTAATAAAGCCTTATTCCCCATCACTTTCATCCCATCCTGCTTCATGGAGAAAACAGAAGCTATCAGGAAGGAACTTGTCCTCATTTCCCCTTCCAAGTGTGATTAGTTCCACATGAAGCAAGCTCCCTGCTTCCCTCCTGTTTCCTAAGTAGCTCTGTTCTTCTCCAAGGCCATCCTCTGCTTGTCCTTGGGATCTTATCCACTCTCATCCTCAGTGACTCTGCTGCAACGACTTCCTCTCTCTTTCCTTTGTAACTTTCTTCTCTACTGGCTCATCCCCATCGGCGTACCTCTTACACTTTAACTCTAGTAAATTTTAGTTCTAGTACCTCTTGCATTTTAACAGTCTCTTGACCTCAAATCCACTCTGACCTAGTTTCTACTTCCTTCACAGAAAAACTTGTGGGAATCTTTGGAGTTATTCTATTTCTTCATTCACTACTCAGTCCCCTCCAGGGTAATTTACCCTATTCCATAAGCGCTGCTCTTGTCAATCACCAAACACTTCTCTTATAAATGGCCTTTTGATTGACCTTTGAACAGCAATTTTTTTTTTTTTTTGGTCATGGTTTCTACAAGGGCACTCTTAACTGATTTCAACCATTCATTTCTCATAAAGACACTGGAAATAGGATATTATTATCATCTCAGTTTTTGAGAGGAAGAAACAGGCCCCAAGGTCATAAAGCTAGTTAAGTGGCAAAATGAAATCTCACATTTAACTTTTCTCTATCAAATATATTGTGCTGGTTCCAATACACCCCGCCACCTTTTCTAAGAGCTCCAGTGGTTCTATTCACCTTGAACACTGATTGAATTATAAAATAAGCAAAGTTCATCTTCTATTCCTCTGATATCCCAAACCTCTATTTCGTACTAGCCAGGTTCTTTGCCTCCAGGTACCTCCTTAAAACTGAACACTCTGCTCTCAGATTGGCACATTAAGGAGAGGTTTGTTAAACACAAACATTTAAACTGGAGACAGTGATCTCCTTCCCCTTTTCCTCAACTTCCTGGGTCAAACCCAGGGTTCTCAATGTGTTTGGGCTTGTAATGAAATGCTACAAAATACTGGAATATAAAATTCCATAATTTCAACCAGGACAACTTTACCAGCAGGAAATCTAGCAGTGATATCTAATTGCATGGAAACTCTCTAGGAAAAGTAACTATGAAAGGTAGTGTGTGTTGGGGGCAGAGAATGGCTGTCAAGAATTTGGTCAAATTCTGTGAAAACCAAGAGACTTTCAGAGGAGAACTGATATGTAGAACATGAAACTAGAGAAGCTCCAACCTGAGGGTGATTAAGCAGGTAGTTCACAGCTTCTTCAAAGTACTCCAGGTGGAGGTTCTCCAGGCTCTTGGGGAGGTCCTCGTAGTTGTAATAAGCCAGTGCCATCACAGCAAAACCCTTCCCAGCCAGCAGACTAGCTCGATATTCCAGAAGGCCACCTCCAGCTCCCAAAATGTCCACAATCCCAGGAAAGGGCCCGGGTTCTTGAAAAGAAAGAAAACACAAAACTAAACGATACTTGAAACTCTTTTTAGTGGTGGCAAAAGCCATTTTTGCCTATTTGGAGATGTCAGAGTTTTCTGTTGACAATCAGAAATGCTAAACAACTCAGGTCTTCAAAGGTCCAGACTGTGGCACAGGCTAAACCCACATTCCCCTCTATACCCAGGGCCTCAAAGCCACACAGAGTTTCACAAAGATCATGTACTATTTTTGTGAGTAAAAATCAGGTATAGGACTTCCCCGGTGGTAGAGTGGATAAGAATCCACCTGCCAATGCCAATGCAGGGGACACTGGTTCCATCCCTGGTCCTGGAAGATCTCACAGGCCACAGAGCAGCTAAGCCCCTGTGTCACAGCTACCAAGCCCGCCCCCTAGGGCCCGAGTGCTGCAACTACTGAAGTCTTCACGCCCTGAAGCCTGCATGCCGCTGCAGCGACTAAGCCCGAGTGTTACAACCACTGAAGCCCAAGCACCCTAGAGCTTGTGCTCCACAAGAGAAGTCTCCACAAGGAGAAGTCCGAGCACCACAGCGAAGTGTAGTCCCCGCTCAACGCAGCTAGAGAAAGCAACAAAGCAGCAAGGAAGACCCAGTAGAACCAAAAAAACAAAAAGAACAAAAAAATTAGTTACAGATGGGACTTACCTGGTGGTCCAGTGACAAAGAATCTGCCTTGCATTCAGGGGACAGGGTTCCATCATGGGTCGGGGAACTATGATCACACATGCCGAGGAGCAAGTAAGCCCCCACACCACAACTGCAAGTACTGAGCCCAAGAGCAACAACTAGAGAGTCCATGCACCTCAAGGAGAGATCCTGAATGGCACAGAGAAGATCCCATGGGCTGCAACTAAGATCCAGTGTAGTGAAAAAAATAAATACTTTAAAAAACCAGTTACAATGAAAACAGCAAAATCACTGCCCTCTTCTGCACCCCCTCCCAAAGTGACAATGCCAAATGCTAGTGAGGATGTGGAACAACTGGATGCTTTACACATTGCCAGTAGTGTGAAAATTCATAAAGGGGAACCTCATAATGGATCTGGAGGACAGAAGGGGAGCTCTCAGCAGTACCACTCCACATCAGTTTTAGGAAGGATTGTCAATTACAAATCAAAACAGAAGAATCATTAACAGGAAAGAATCATCAGTCACAGGTCCCAACAAAAAAAAGATGTACATTGCATCCCCTCCAAGAAACTGACTACCCCAAGAATTCAGCCAGTGAGAAACCACCATCACCCTAAACTGTCACTTTTTGCCAATGGACTTTCGTTCAAAACAACTCCTCCCACCTTCCTCCTTTTTCTCCATTAAATAACTTTCCTCTTCTTGGCTTGTTGGGTTTGCCTATGGTTTTGGTCATGTCTTGCTTGTCCCAAATTGTAATTCTCTGTTATTTCCAAATTAACAAATTTTTCACTAGCCAAGTAACTACCTTTTATTTTTAAGGGCAACCTTGGGGATGCACATTGATACAATCACTTTGGGAAAAAACTGAGCAACTTCTTATAAAGTTAAGCATACTTTATAAAGTCAATGACCCAGCAATCTCACTCCCAGGTATTTTCCCAAGAAAAATGAAAATTTGTGGTCACACAAAAACTTAGATGTGTGTTTGCAGTGATTCCAAAGTCTTGAAACTCAAATATCCTCCAAAAGGCAAATGAAATAACAAACTGGCACATCCGTTTAATGGGAAACTTCTAAGACACAAGAAGCAGCAGCTACCAACATATGGAGCAAAAAGAATAAATCTCAAATGTGTTATCCTTGGCCCAAAAAGCTACCTACTGTGTATGATTCTAGTTATTTCACCTTTTCACTATTTACATAAAAAATTTGTATACAATGTACAAAGTTTAAGGAATAATTATAAGGCAAGTACTTTATATTATTATAATTTTACTTGTTTATTTGTTGACTAGGCTCCTACTTTTCTCTAGTTGCAACGCCCCAGGGCTACTCTCGGGCTGGGGTGCAAGGACTTCTCATTTCAGTGCCTTCCCTTGCTGCTGAGCGAGACTCTGCGGCGTGTGGGCTTCAGGAGTAGTGGTGCCAGGACTCAGGAGTTGCGGTTCCCAGTCTCTACAGCACAGGGTTAATAGTTGTGGTGCACAGGCTTAGTTGTTCTGCAGCATGTGGGATCTTCCCAAACTAGGGGTCAAACCTATGTCTCCTGCATTGGCAGGCAGATTCCTGAGCCTTCAAGTTTTCTTTCTAAAGTTTTTCAGTTTTACAACTTTGCTTCTAACTTCCACAGTATTAAGATTTAAGAAAGAGTAGATGAATAACTGTGTTTGTTTTTTTAGCAGTGTATGCAAGTTCCTTTTCTTCCACATACTGGTCTAACACTGGTAATGTTAGACTTCTAAATTTTGAGGATGTTTAATGTCGTGTGTAGTCTTGTTTTGCATTTCATTGATTCCTAATGAGGATAAGTTTTTTTTTGTCTTCTTTTTTTTTTTTTTTACTTTTTCATTGGCCGGCTGCATTTTATGAAATGGTAAAATTAACTGAAATGGTAAAATTAACTGATAGTTCAGAAGGTCTCCGGCGGATAGCAAGAGACCCTCCTTCATGCTGTTTTTGTTGTTTGGTTAAGCCGTAACTGGCTCTTTGCGACCCCATGGACTGTAGCCCGCCAGGCTTCTCTGTCCAGGGGGATTCTCCAGGCAAGACGACTGGAGTGAATTGCCATGCCCTCCTCCACGGGAATCTTCCCAAACCAGGAATCAAACCCGCGTCTCTCAGTTTCCTGCATTGAAAGGCGCAGGCTCTTTACCACTAGCGCCAACCTGGGAAACCCACCAGCTCCCGGAGTTTGCTCAACTTCACATCCATTGAGTGGGTGACGCTATCTAACCATCCCATCCTCTGCTGCCTCCTCCATTCCTGTTTCAAGCCCCACGGACCTTCCGAATGTTATGAGCTACCTACTTATTACCTTCCTCTCTCACATAGATTAAACAAGGATTGCTGGCGGCTCAACTGGCGGCAGGAAGAGCGTGCCGCGCACCCGGCCCGCGCGCACCGGCTCGCGCCGCACCCCGGGGCGCCAGGAAGTCGCGCTCGTGCACCGCCCGGCCCAGAAGCCGTTGGGCCTCGGGCTCGTGACCGTCGAGCACCTCCAGCTCCACGGCGAAGGGCGTCTGCACGTCCCGCTTCACCAGGCGCAGCAAGGGCTTCTCGGGCTCCAGAGCCCAGAAGAGCCCCATGGGCTCGAGCCCCGCGAAGCTGCCGCCCAGCGCGGGCGCGCGCTCCAGGTCCAGCAGGCCGGCGGCGTCGGCGCAGTAGCGCGCGTGGGCCCTGAAGAGCGCGCCCTTCTCGTCGCGCAGGGACGCGCGCAGCGTGACCGGCTGCCCCGGGGCGAGGCCGCGGACAGCGATGCGCACGGGCTCGTCCCAGCGGCAGCGGCCCGCCGGCTCCAGCGTCACGGTCGCCACCAACCGGACAGTGGTCCAAGAGACTGGGTTATCAGTCCTCAGCTTTAGAGGTCCTGCCAGCTGCACCCAGCGCGTCGGGCCCCATCGGCAGAATCCAAAGTGTCTCAGGAGAGCCTGAGAGGAGGCCACCATTTTGCACCTTCTTCAGATCTAGGATCAACTGAAGACGGCTGTGAAGAAAGTTAGAAACGGTTTAGAGATTCTCTAGCCGAAGCCAGTTTATTGGCAGACTAAGCGTCCAATGCGGAGGAGCCCCTGCTGTGTCGTTTGGAGGGCCTCGAGTCTTGCCAATCAGTGGCCTGCATTTGAAAGCAAGAGCGAAAACAGACTCACGCGAACTTTATGCTGCGAAAGAATTCCCTAATTCTGCGTCTCAAGGTCTCTTTGGCTTGGGCTGCGTGAGTTGTACGAGTGTTGCCCTTGCAGGCACCTGGCACTTAACTTTGGAGTCTGCCAAGCTAATAGCCAGAGGAGTGGCATTGAGCTTTATCACTTTGTTGCATAATTCACACCAGCTAAATATCTGAAGCTGAATTGCAATACTTTGGTCACCGGATGCGGAGAATCGACTCGTTGGGAAAGACCCTGATGCTGGGCAAGATTGAGCGCAGGAGGAGAAGGGGACGACAGAGGATGAAATGGTTGGATGGCATCTCCGACTCGATGGACATGAGTTTGAGTAAGCTCCAGGAGTTGGTGATGGACAGGGAAGTCTGGCGTGCATGGGTTCTCAAAGAGTCAGACAGGACTGAGCGACAGAACAACAACAAATCTTAGGTCTTTTCGTTTAGAATGTGCACTGTGGTGTTTTGCTTGTATATTTTTTGTGTATATAATTATTTTTCCACACCATTCCATAACTAACGGGCCTGGCATCTTACTAGCTGTGTGATCTTACTCTCCTTCAGTTCAGTTCAGTCGCTCAGTCATGTCCAACTCTCTGCAACCCCATGGACTGCAACACGCCAGGCCTCCCTGTCCATCAGCAACTCCCGGAGCTTACTCAAACTCATGTCCACTGAGTTGGTGATGCCACCCAACCATTTCATCCTCTGTTGTCCCCTTCTCCTCCTGCCCTCAATCTTTCCCAGCATCAGGGTCTTTTCAAATGAGTTAGTGTAAAAATAGCTCAATGAGGTGATAGTTGTTATTTTGTTTTCTGGAGTCTCATGTTGCTCCTTTTAGGCAAACATTATCTCCCTGCCACCCTGGACTTCTCACCTTTTCCCACTTTTTCTTAAGCTGTCGATTCCATCCAGTGGTGAATTTTTTATGAAATTTAACTGCAGACCCCTTCTAAGGTCTCATACTTGATTGTACATTCATGAATGTACATGCTTTCTATTAGAGAAACTTGGAAATTATATAAGCTTCAAGGCCACAAAACCTGTGTTTGCCTCTGTTCCTAATAAAAGCCACTTCCATGAACTTCTCAGAGGAGACTTTTTGCCTAGATTCAAATATTCACAACTGCCTTTTGCTCTAATTATTTTGGTAACCGTCCTGTGGGATACTTTGCAGTATATTTTGTGCACAGGAGTCTCAGAAACAAGAAACTTATGAGCAAATTAAGTCCCCAGGGAAGTGAACTGATTTGCTAAAGGTCACACAGCTAGAAAGTGGAAATTCAGAGATTTATACCTTTGCAGTCCAATTCCATCTGAACCATCATTCTTTTCTTCTCACATGATGATGTTCTAGTTGAGAAGATGTAAGAAACAGAGACTCATATACTGTTGGTGGATGCATATACTGGTATGATCTTTTCAGAGCAACCTAATTAAAAATATTTAAAGGATACATTCTCTTTGATTCACAATTCCACCTCTGGACATTTCACACATTTATAAATGTCTGTAAATATTTGGTTATAACAATACTTACCATATCATTGTTTTAATAGAGGAAAAAGAAAACAACAATATAAATTTGGTTGATTCAGTTTAATTGTAATGCAGTCATATAACAGAAGAGATGTAGAAGAGATATATTAAAAATAATATAGCAGAATATGAGAAAATTTCATGACATTGAAAGCAGGTAGAGAACACTTTGTAGACATTAAAATATATATATTAAAACATTTTTTAAAGAAAAGACTGGTAGAAAACGACCCTAAACTGTTGTCTTAGGCTTTGGGATATTATGGGTAGTGTTTTTTTAATGCTTATTTATTTGGCTGAGTTGGGTTTTAGTTGCAGCACATGGGATCTAGTTTCCTGACAAGGGATTGAATGCAGGCACCCTGTATTGGGAGAAGAGAGTCTTACCGCTGGGCCACCAGAGAAGTCCCATATGAGTAGTTTTAATTTTCTTCTTTGTGCAGAATTTCACCCACACACATGGCTTTTATAATTAAACAGGTTTTTTTTTTCCCACTGTGGTAATACACAGATAAAATTTACCATTTTAAAATGCATAGTTACCTGAGTATATTCACATTGTTGTGCAACCTTTAACACTATCTCCTTTTTCATCACCTGAACTGAAATTCTATACCTATTAACTCATCATTCCTCCTTCTCCACCGCAGCCCCTGGAAATCACTATTCCACGTTCTGTAGCTATTATTTGACTAGTCTAAGCACCTCTTAGATAAGTGGAATCATAAAGTATTTGTCCTTTTGTGTCTGGCTTATTTCACTTTACATAATGTCTTCCAGGTTCGTATATATAGCATATATGTAGCCTTTCTGTATTCTATTCCTTTTTAAGGCTGAATAATATTCTATTATATACATATATCACATTTTGTTTATCCATCCATCCACTGATGGCCATTTGGGTTGCTTCCACCTTTCAGCTGTTGTGAATATACTATGAACATGGGTGTGCAAACGTCTGTATGAGCTCTGCTTTCAATTCTTTGGGCATATACTCAGAGGTGGAATTGCTGGATCACATGGTCATTTTAACTTTTTGAGAAAACTTGACCAGGGTTTTAATACTTAATTTTAAAAATTCTTTCAGTCATTTCATCTCAGGGAACATGTCCATTCACTCTTTTGTGAGGGTCCCAGTGTCTGAGCACAAATTGAGTTGCGGCACTAAAGGCAGTGCTCAGGTTGGTCAGCAAGAGATGGTGACCACTTGAATGGCACTGCCCCAGGTCAACTGGGCAGAACTTGATGGCCAAAAATTTTCTTTACTGTAAGGACAAATTCTTTTCGCAAGGGGAATCCTGAAGACCAGTATTCTGTAGGCCTGGAATTTTATTATTAAAAATATAGGACTTGAAGAATCCTTGTAAAAACAGTGTTATTGGCTGATAACCCAGCCAGAATTGGGGAAGCAGAGGAGATGGAACTGAGCTGTGTGAAGGAGGGAGATTAAACAGGAGCAGAATAGAAAGAGAATGGGAAAGGCCCCAAAGACACTCATTCTGCTTTACCATTTGTTTCATCAGGCTGCTGGTCTGAAGCATGCCAGAGCTGAGTGTCCATGTGTTTCCCTGCTTTGTCTCTCTCTCTCCGTAGGACTTTTTTTTTTTTTTTTTGGCTATGCAGGGTCTTAGTTGTAGGAACTCTTAGTTGCAGCATATGCGATCTATTTCCCTGACCAGGGATTGAACCCGGGCCCCCTACACTGAGAGTGCAGACTCTTAGTCACTGGACCATCGGGGAAGTCCCTTCGTAGGACTTTTGAACGAATGTGGAGGGGAAAATATTGAGCTGCGTAGACCTAGATGTTATTTTTCAAAGGAGGACCAAGAAATCCATTTTGCCACCAATTGGTAAGTACAATATAATTTCCCAAAGCTCAATTTACAAAGAAGGAAATTTAATAAATATCTGAAAGTACTCCTGACTGAACCTATAGGTTCTGTGAGTAGACTTGTGGAATCCTCAAGAGGTGGTTGCTTAGTAACCAATATTAAGCAGCTTTGGAATCTAAAACTAAGGAAGGTTTAAGATGGCAAAACCTTGTTTCCCATTGAAGATTGTGTGTGGGAAGCCACTTTGAAGGTAATTTCAAAATACTGCTGCTGCTTTATCCGTATGTGAAAGGAGCTTATGAGCATCAGATGAATGATGAGAAGCAGTCAGAAGTAGTTGAAAAGATTTTGGATTAGGTGTCAAAGTGTCAGTTTTGCTAGGTACTAACTAGTACTGTGATCTTAGTTACATGTCTTCTCCCTGGACCTCAGTTTTGGCATCTGTTAATAAAACAGTTGTGACAGATCGTCTCTATGCCAGAGTTTCCACAATAATCTGATGAGACAACCGCCTTGGTTTAGTGGTTAGGACTTGACACTTTCACTGCCATGGCTGGCGTTCAGTCCCTGGTTGGGGAACTAAGACCCTGCAAGCCATGCAGCACAGCCAAAAAAGAAAAAGAAATTAAAGGGGGGGAAATGTAGGGAACTTTCTGTAAAGAAAGAGGCAGCAGAGAGAGGGTATTTGAAATAAGCCTGGTTAAGGGTTCCTTGATCCCCTCATTAACTAAGCTTCTTTCATAAATCCCATGGATACCTCCTAGAGCTATAGTTTCTCTAAATTTAATGTGTATAAAAACCTCTGACATCTTGTTAAAATGCAGATTTCTAGACTTCACTTGCAGCCTCCTGAATCAATATTCTAGAGTGTGGGACACAGGAGTCTGCAGTTTAATGAACTCCTCAGGTGATCTTGATGCAGAAAGTCTTTTAGCCATATCTAACAAGCACTGTCCCAGAAGCTGAGTGTCCCTTCTTGGGCCCTACCTCAGAACTTCAGAATCTGGAGGTGGAAGTGAGAGTGTACTATTTTAAAACTCTCAGAAGATACGGTGCTATGGCTTATAGCATTTCCTTCTGTGGCAGTTTCTACTGCTTTAGTAATAGAAAGAAAAAAACACGATATTATTCCTTTTGTTGCTGTTTAATTGCTCAGTCGTATCCAACTCTTTGTGACCCCACGGACTGTTGTCTGCTCAGCTCTGCTTGTCCATGGAATTCTCCAGACAAGAATACTGGAGTGGGTTGTCATTTCCTTCTCCAGTGGATCTTCCAGATCCAGGATTGAACCCGTGTCTCCAGCATTAGCAGTGAGCTACCAGGGAAGCTCAATTATTCCTTTTAGCATTTAACTATTTCTTCAGAATAAAGGCAATAGACCAGAGGGTGAGGGTACAGGACTGGAAAGATGAAAAGA